AAAAAAAAAAAAAAAAGAAACAGAGAGCTATAAAATGTCCTGTATCTGGTGCTGATACACCAAATGGGGAAGGGCAAGAGGGAGAAATGAAGAGTAGCCTGTGATTTAAGATGAGGATTTGAGGCACAACCTTTGTGATAAGATGAGGTCTCGTTATTGCAATAATCTGATGACCTAAAACCCTTATCGCCAGCCAGCAAGGCATCCTTCCAAGCTTCAGCTGATGTGCAGGCGGATGTCAGCACAGCCTTCAGTGCAGAAAGCACTAGGGCAGACCCTTAAAATTCTTCTTGACCACATGTGGTTTGTTTTCTTTGCCTGTGCTTCCTCCTTTTCCGCCCACTCGCTAGCCTCTCTGCCACTTTTCTCATCTGTCAATACTCATGTAGGCTTTTCTTTCCTACTGACACCTCCCAAAGAAGGCGTTGGCTCTGTGACTGGGGTTGGTAAGGGTGGTGTGGATGGTGCTTTCTCCAGTAACAGGTGTCTTTTCCCTGAATTAGGATCGATCGGTGGCCTCTTCTTCGCGGTTGGCATTGCCCAGTATGCCCTGTTGGGATACTTCATCCGCTCCTGGAGGACCCTCGCCGTTCTGGTTAACCTACAGGGAACGGTGGTCTTTCTTCTGTCATTGTGAGTAGTTTTTCCTCTTAGAGGTTTAATTTAATATGCAGAAGGAATGTCTTAAGAGGATGCGGGTCAATGAGCAGCGTTATTCCCTTTCAGGAGTTTGCCTGAACTGACTTTGGTGAAGAGCTAAATCCCACAAGCGGTCCAATGCTTGGCAGCTGCTGGGAAGAGAGATGCTTAATTAATTCAGAATGCAGGTATCCCTTGTTTCAAGTAACGTCTCCATAGATTGCATTTTAACCTTCAAGTTGTTGACCCAGGGTGCCAGTTTCTTTTGTAACCTAATGCCTCAAGCCTGAAGATCTTCAGGCTGGATCAGGTCAGGTGCTTGGCATCTGACTCAGGTACAATGTTGCAAATATCACAGTCCATTCATACCCAATATGTAGCAGCAACTATCCGTCCTACAGGTGACCCTTATTTCAGGGCCTCTAAATGTGGACGTGGGAAGACTCTCAGATATGGGAGAAATCCTTAGGGTAGATAGCTCAAAGCGGTAAAAGGGTGATTCCCTGGTCAGGGCAGGATGCTCCCAACAACTTGCTCAGATGTCACACCATGGCGCCCTGAATGCTGTAAGGCGAGCCCCCAACTTAGAGCTCTTTTACAAGTTCTTTCTTCCCATAGCAAATACTTTATTAATAATGTCATTAATAGTGTTTGTTATATAATACATATTATGTAATATATAATAGAATAATATTATTTATTAATATTCTTCCCTAAATAGCCTCAGGCTCCGGTAATAGTAAAACAAATATTTAAGAGACATTTACAGAGTTCTCCATAAAATTAACATTACTGACCATCTTGTTGGGGCTTAGAAACCAGTTTCACTCATAAATACTGTGTCACAAAGAAGTAATACTATTCCATTTCTTATTTCATCATTTTAATGATGTGCTTAAGAAGTTTGACATTTGAGGGGCACCTGGGTGGCTCAGTCAGTTAAGCATCTGCCTCCAGCTCAGGTCATGATCCCAGGGTGCTGGGATCGAGTCCCAGGTCGGGCTCCCTGCTCAGCGGGGAGTCTGCTTCTCCCTCTGCCTCTGCCCCCACTCATGCGCTCTCTCTCTCTCAAATAAATAAAATCTGGAGAAAAAAGAAGTTTGAGTTTTTAGTTTTATTTCACCAGAAGTTTTAATGTGCTTGTGAAAGGCTTTCTCCTGAGATATCAGACCTGTAATTTGAATCATTAAAATCTTTGGAATAAATAAAATTTTCGGCCAGTGGAGTGAGCGATATCTGTGGCAGAATTTTCCTTCAGATGCATATTTAATGTAGTCGTTCTTTTTTCAAGTTCTACTAATTGAGATTTGCTGGATTGAGGATTGAACTGAAATCTGTTTTTTTGTTTTGTTTTTTGTTTTTTTTTTTAAAAGATTTTATTTATTTATTTGAGAGAGAGAGAATGAGAGATAGCACAGGAGAGGTGTTAGGGTCAGAGGGAGAAGCAGACTCCCCGCCGAGCAGGGAGCCCGATGCGGGGCTCGATCCTGGGACTCTCCAGGATCATGACCTGAGCCGAAGGCAGTCGCTTAACCAGCTGAGCCACCCTGGCACCCGAACTGAAATCTGTTTTTGTATTCTCTTTGAAATAAGAGAATTAAGTGCAAAAATGAATATAACAGTGGGGTGCCTGGCTGGCTCAGTCAGAAGAGCATGGGACTCTTGATCTCGGGGTTGTGAGTTCGAGCCCCACATTGGGTGTAGAGATTACTTAAAAATAAATAGATAAACTTTAAAGAATGAATATAATAGAAATAGTTTACCTATACTTAAACAAGCAAAATGTATTAAATGTACTTAGTTATGTGAATTGGAATGAGATAATCCTACCAGAAAGGGAAACTAACAACATTTCATTAGTTCGTGTATTATACATTTTTGGAATAAATGGGTACCTAGTGTCATCCTTGAATTAATAAGCAGTCATGTAAATGTGGGTAGATAAATGAATTTTCTTTTTAAATAGCCAATAAGTCTTCTTTAGAGCGACTTTGACAGCCGGAATGAGCTGTTCTGCCTGTCTTTTCTGAATGTGGTCTGAGTTTGTTACGGTCCTAGTGCTAGGTGGGGCCGTCCACACCCTGGGAGATGAATTCAGGTCGGGAAACAATAGGAAACAGAGAGAAAAGAGCATGTAAACCCAAAATATATAATTATTCCATTAGGCCTTCCCACGGTCAGCCTGCAGTTTATCTTTTCTGATCGTCTCCCAGCCCATTTCCCATATCCTGTGTGCCAGGCACAGCAAGCTGCTTGTAGTTTCTGGCGTCATCTTGTGCCGTCCTGCTTCCGGGCCCCCTGCTGGATGCTGCCCCTGCCCTTCCCACACCCTGCTCTCCAGTTCTTCCTAGTTAACTCCTGGCCTCCCGGGTTTGCTCAAATTCTACCCCCTCCAGACTTGTCCCCATCACACCTCCAGCTACCAGTCATTTGCTTTGGCTTCTGAATTCTCCAGCACTTACCCCGTGCCCTACGAGTGTTCTGTTTCCACCTCACGCTGGAGCCCGTCTCTTTCTGCTTCAGGAGCTTCCTCCTGACAGCTGCAGGTGCTGGGCTTGGTCACACGTCCCCCAGCACCAAAGCCCAGGGCCTTCCGCACAGATGATCCTTCAGATCCATTGGACAGGTGTGGGCACAAAAAATATGTGGAAATAGCCTTCAGAATTAGCTGTCAGCAATGTAAGAAAAAGTCACATTATTTTAGAGTCATACCTTGTTTTTTTTGTTTTACTAGAAACATTAGTGTGTAGTTTAAAAATTCCTCATTTTCACAGTATGTGGATTTGAACAGTTTTACTCTAAAAATCAGCGCCTCCATACTTTACAAAGATATTCCACCTTCTAAGAAATTCACAGGACATGTTTTGAGCAGAGACAACATTGTTAAATTAGCACTGTAGCTTCTGAAGGTGGCCCCAGCACTGTGTAGAGGGCAGCGTGTTCAAAGACTGCTTTTTCTTTTAAAAACACGTCTTGCTGTTTGATATGCAAAATCTGCATGTATTGGAATTTATATTCCCGAGTCCATCCGTTGGCAGCGAGGTGAGCCTTTGTGTAAGTAAGCTTACTGGCTTCTGCAAATGTGGGGACAGTCAGGTCCTCGGTTTGTGTACAAGACAGACCCTTCCCCACGCAGAAATAGTTTAGTAGCTCAAATTTCCAAAGCTTGAATATCTCTCAAGTATAAAAAGGATTTATAAACATTTAGCAGTAATGTAAACATTTATGTAACAGTAATTTACAAACATTTTAACAGTGACTAATGCTTATCAACCATTCTGAAAACAGGGAAGTTTGAGGGAAAGGGGACAGTGACCTAAATGACCCAAAGATAGTGACTGTTAGTATTTCAGCTGTTCCCTGGTCTCCTCTCTCTCAGCTCCCTGTCCCCCTTGGTTTTAATTTTTATTACAACAGATTTCTGGTGTCTCACTTATTTTTCCCTCCCAGCGGTACTCTCCATCTTCATCGTAGGCTTTGTTTATGTTCTTTATATTTGCATTTAGAGTCAATCAGGTGGTTTACATGGTAGCTCGTAAGCCACCTGGTTGTTAGGGCCAGTGGGTCCGCTTGATGATCGGCAGAACTAACGCCCAGCAGAACAATATTTTGCTTGATTATCTGCTTGTGTATTAGTGATAATAATCGCATGGTAATGATGCTGTAAATCAAGGGATTTTTCCGGCTGTTGTAGGAGGCCTGAGTCCCTGCTTTTGTTGATGACCAAATGTGCACAAATATTCTCTCCCCAGTAGCAAAGCTCTGCGAGAATTTCTGCCTTCTTGTTTCCTCTGAGCACCTGCTACATTGCTCGATACAAAATGAAAGTGCTCAACAAGTGGTTATTGATGGACTGCTGTCCACGAAGTTCCAGATTCCGTGGTATTTGTTGCCACTTCACTATCCTTAGGGAAAGGCACGGAGAATTCTAAAAGGCATCTTCAATAGCCAGTGGTACTTATAGGTAGAAGTTTCATTTTAAGCAAATCATGTCACGTTAGATCAAAAGGTACTGGATGCTGTATTTACTAAACAAGGTGTCCCTGTTCCTGTCCCAGTTTGTCTTTGACAAGTCCTCTAGCTGTGCACACAGAAGTGTGAAGAGGGAAAAGACACATCAGAGAGCTAAGTCTTAAAACTATTGGAAAATATCAGTGGCAATATAACTGTTCAGTACTTTGTAGTTACAGCAGAAAATAATTACTTGGTACCTGAAAGTTAACCAGAAAATGACTTTTATTCTTTAAGGTCTTGGGGGGCAGGAAATATCCTGAGGACATAGTAAAGCGAGTGCGTCGACTGATTCGAGTATTGTGAAGCAGGAAATGCTCGAAAGTAGTTGAGATGTGATGAGCCCTATTTGATTTTTATGTAGAGTCTTAATCTCTGCCTTCTTAATAACATATCACTATGTTAAAAACATGTTTTAAAATTTATTTTTTCTGATGAGACAATAGAAATTACCTTCTTTGTGAGGCTTTGTCAGAACTTAAACACCTGCTATCTCTGTAGTATTATTCTCACACTTGGCTAGGGTTTAGAATGCTCTCTCTGACTTGTGCTTGATGAAAAATTTGTATCACTCAGTATTCTAGGCTTAATTTAGCATTATCTATTAAAATTTGTTTAAAAGTAAATGCCTACGGCTTACCTTTTTTTTTTTTTTAACTGCTGTTTTGGAAGTATGTTCTTGGTTTCCATTCATAAAGCCACCACCTTTTAACCCTTGCACGCTGTTGAAAGTGGCCCCCTCTCTCTTTCACCTGTCATTGGGAGAGAGAGTTTTAATCCTCACACGGAATCCGGTTGTGGTGAGGGAATCCACATACTCCTAGGTGAATTGTCTCCTTCATGTGCCCGTGTACCTATATGAATATACAGCCTTTAATGACGTCTCTTTCAGATTCATTCCTGAATCACCTCGTTGGTTATACTCCCAGGGTCGACTGAGTGAGGCTGAAGCGGCTCTGTACCTCATTGCCAAGAGGAACCGCAAGCTCAAGTGTACGTTCTCCCTAACATATCCGGCCAGCAGGAGCCACAGGGAGACGGGAAGTTTCCTGGATCTATTCCGTTACCGGATCCTCTTGGGGAACACGCTGACCCTGATGTTCATCTGGTAATTATACCTAAGGGGTGTTGTCTTGATCTTCAACTCAGGTTGCTAATGGGCTGTTGATAATGTGTTCCTTCTGCAGGGTTACAGAAAACCTTACCTGATTTGTCAGCTTGAAGTGGTTTTCACAAGAACAAGTCCTCTGTCTCTTTTTTTTTAAAGATTTTATTTTTTTTTTTATTTATTTGAGAGAGAGACTGAGAGAGAGAGAGAGAGAGAGCATGAGAGGGGGGAGGGTCAGAGGGAGAAAGAGACTCCCTGCCGAGCAGGGAGCCCGATGTGGGACTCGATCCTGGGAGTCCAGGATCATGACCTGAGCCGAAGGCAGTCGCTTAACCAACTGAGAAACCCAGGCGCCCAGTCCTCTGTCTCTTAATGCCCATGTTGTGCTCAGCCCTGCTTTCGCAGCACCCTCCAGTCAAGGAGGAACCCGCAGTTTATGGATGGCAGGTTTACCGAACTTGAGTAAATAGACAGCAGAAACACATCTTTGCTCCTGAGCTCTTTCCTGTAAATACTCAAGTACCCCCAAGAACCCCCAAGAACCAATAAAGGGGGGGGTGGGAAGCAAGCTTATTAGAAGAGTTTCTAAGTAGGAGTTTAAAGTCCCTACCTTTGGTGTTAGCATCAAGTTGTTCAGATAGCATGCTTTAGTTGTAGCGCCCTGTCCTGTACTTCGTGTGACATTCTCACTCGCTCGCTCGCGCACTCCCGGGAGGTGGGCAGTGTTGTTCCTTGCACAAGTGGAGTCCTGGGAGTGTGAAATGATGGACTCAAAGCCACGTGTGCAAATCAGCACATGAACAGATAGGCATTCTCTGAATCTGATTTTCTCGCTTAGCTTATTCCTACCCGCCGCCCAACATGCTGTCAGCATTCATGTGCATCGCACCAAATGATTCAAGATGGCTCCGCTTAACGAATGAAGCGGAAAGGGGAGAAGTGGACGGGCGGTGCATACAGGGTGTGAATGGCACCCGTGTTGTAGTATTGTATGGGCGCTCCACGTTTTACTGTACTTCTCAGAGATTGTGTGTTTTATGGTTGAAGGTTTGTGGGCAACCCTGCATCAAGCAAGTCTACTGGCACCATTTTCCAATAGTGTTTCCTCACTTCGTGACTCTGTGTCACATTTTGTTAATTCTCACAGTATTTCAAATTTTATCGTTAGTATTAGATTTGTCATGGTGATCTGTGATCAGTGATCCTTGGTGTTACTGTTATAATTGTTTGGGGGCACCACGAACCACATCTGTATATGACAGTGAACTTAATAAATGTTGTGTGTGTTCTGACTGTTCCACTGACTGGCCATTCCCCCATGTCTCTCCCTCTCTTGGGCCTCTATTCCTGGAGACACAACAATATTGGAATTAGGCCAGTTAATTAGGCCTACCGTGGTCTCTATGTGTTCGAGTGAAAAGAAGAGTCACATGTCTCTCACTTCAAATCAAAAGCTAGAAATGACTCAGCTTAGCAAGGAGGTCACGTTGAAAGCCAAAGATAGGCTGAAAGCTAGGCTTCTTCACCAAACAGTTGGCCAAGTTGTGAATAAAGGAAAAGTTCTTAAAGGAAATTAGAAGTGCTACTCCAGTGAACACGTGGATGATTAAAAGCAAAACAGCCTTATTGCTGATATGGAGAAAGTTCTAGTGTTCTGGACAAAAGATCAAACCAGCCACAACATTCCCTTAAGCCAGAGCCTGATCCAGAGCAAGGCCCTAACTCTCTTCAATTCTCTGAAGGCTGAGAGAGGTGGGGAAGCTGCAGAAGGAAAGTCTGAAGCTAACAGAGGTTGATCCATGAGGTTTAAGGAAAGCAGCCGTCTCCACAATATAAAAGCACAAGATGAAGCAGCAAGTGCTGATGCAGAAGCTGCAGCAAGTTCTCCAGAAGATCTAGCTAAGACAACTTATGAAGGTGGCTACACTAAGCAATAGATTTCCACATAGATGAAACAGCCTTCTTTTGGAAGAAGATGCCATTTAGGACTTCTATAGCAAGAGAAGGGAAGTCAGTACCTGGACATGCTGACTCTTGATAGGGGCTAATGCAGCTGGTGACTTAAAGTGGAAGACAGTGCTCACTGACCATTCTGAGAATCCTAGGGCCCTTAAGAACTACACTAAATCTACTCTGCCCATCTCTAAAGGGAGCAACAAAGCCTGGATGATAGCACATCTGTTTACAAATATTTTCAGCCCACTATTGAGACCTACTGCTCAGAAAAAAAAAAAAAAGATTCCTTTCAAAATATTACTGCTCACTCACAATATACCTGGGTGCCCAAGAACTCTGATGGAGACATGAGATCAATATTGTTTTCATGCCTGCCAACACATCTATTCTGCAGCCCATGGATCAAGGAGTCATTTCAACTTTCAAATCTTCCTAATTAAGACATACATTTCATAACAATATTGGTGCCGTAGATAGTGATTCCTTTCATCGAGCTGGGGAGAGTTCATTGGAAACCTTCTGGAAAAGATTCATCATTCTTGAAGACGTTAAGAACATTCATGATTCATAGGAAGAGGTCAAAATATTAACATTAACAAGAGTTTGGAATAAGTTGATTCCAACACTCATAGATGACCTTGAGGGGTTCAAGACTTCAGTGGAGACAGTAACTGCAGGTGTGGTGGAAATAGCAAGAGAAAGAGAATGAGAAGTAGAGCCTGAAGATGGGACTGAATTGCTGCTATCTCATGATCAAACTTGAACAGGTGAAGAGTCACTTTCTTATGGATGAGCAAAGAAAGTGGTTTCTTGAGATGGAATCGACTCCTGGTGAAGATGCTATGAAGATTGTTGAAATGGCAACAAAGGATTGAGAATATTACATAAACTTTGTTGATACAGCAGCAGCAGGGTTTGAGAGAATTGACTCCAATTCTGAAAGAAGTCCTACTATGGATAGAATGCTATCAAACAGCATCACATGCTACAGAGAAATTGCTCATGAAAGGAAGAGTTGATTGATGCGGCAAACTTCAGTGTTGTATTATTTTAAGAAATTGCCTCAACCACCCCAGCCTGCAGCAGTGACCACCCTGCTCCGTCAGCAGCCATCAACATCAAGGCAAGACCCTCCACCAGCAAAGAGATGATGACTCGCTGAAAGGTCAGATGATGATTAGCATTTTTTAGTAATAAAATATTTTAAATTAAGGTATCTACATTGTTTTTTTAGATGCAATGCTTTTGCACGCTTAACAGACTACAATATAGTGTAAACATAACTTTCCTGTGCACTGGGAAACCGAAAAATTCATCTGACTTGCTTTACTGCAACACTCACTTTATTGCAGTGGTCTAGAACCTGCAGTATCTCCTAGGTGTGCCTGTCCATTCTGCTAAGGTGCCATAGACTGGGTCCAGGATTGGGTGTGGAACAGCGTAGTTACTGGCTCGAAGGACTTTTGTGCTGTGGTTGGACTATATTTGCCATGAAGGCTGCATGGAAACCTACATTTTCATGTGGGGATTAAGGAGAATAATTTTATATGAAAGTGATCTTAGATATAAAGCTGTAAAGAACAGCAGATTGAGGGGAAGAAGCTGTGCATATTTTTTCTCTATCATGATTCTCTTTTTCTACCCAGCCAAGCACTGGCTGCCACCTGTATGGTTAGGGGCCAGGGTATATCCACTGCCGCCTTCCCCACAGACCCAGCACCATGCAGGAATATCACAGATGCAGAGTGAATGTGGAACAGGGGACGCAAGCTTGGAGACATGGAGATTAAGGGAACTTTGAAAAGCCAGACCTGACGACCCAGCCCAGGAGCTACTCATCTGGGTTCTGCCTATTGCAGACATTTACAAAATATGTTCAGGTGCTTCAGCCTCCATAAAACTCCGCATTTGCATGTCATAGAGACAGTCAAACGCTCTGCCTGCTTCTTGAGGATAATTTACTTCTTGTGTTTAGGTTTTTGGGGGTTTTTTTTGAGGCAGATTAACTTTTGGATTCTGGCCTTCAGGGGATAAAAAACAGACGAACAAACAAACAAAGTAGCCTGGGAGCCAGGGAGAATGTCCCTGTTTCTTTTCTTACCTTACACAGCCAAAGGAGTTCTTCTTGAATAAACCTCTTCCCCCTGGGCTCCGAATGCTGAAATACGCAACAATAGAGACAGTGTCATTCCACCTAACTGCTGTTGTTTCTGAAGATGCCGTAAAATTCTGAAGTCTTTTCTGTGGGTCTGTCATTGAAGAAAGCCCTTACCGGGGAGCAAAACAATACCTCTGTGGTTCACATCTGTTCCTTTGGTTATTTCCCACACTAGTTTCTTTTTAAATAGTTCTTTGATGCCCTAAATATACTGTTAAATATTATGCAAGCATTCTAAATTTTGCTTGGGGCCCATAAAAAGGATTGAAATGATTTTAATAGCTGTAATTACGCATCCCAATGACCAACTTGCCATTAAGGAACCTCGCAAGCAGAGTCCCCGCCGTGGGACCATAGGCCCTCCTTGCCCATGCTCTCCCCATGCTCACCCACCACCAGCGGCTTCTGCATGCCTCTCGTGTCTGATCTGGCCTTGTTTATTTATGCCTGACTTGCTACCATCCCGACTGGGTTTAAATATGTGTGTTTCCACGGCTGGAATTATTTCACTGGGATTTCTATTTGATTGATTGATTGATCGAGTGTGTGTGAGAGTGAGCTTGGAAGGGGGGTGGATGGAGAGACAGGGAGAGAGAGAGAGAATCCCAAGATGCAGGGCTCGATCTCACAACCCTGAGATCATGACCTGAGCTGAAATCAAGAGTTGGACGCTTAACCGACTGAGCCCCCCCAGGCGCCCCGGGATTTCTATTTTAAGTGCAAAGTAGACACACGCTGATGCATACAACACATGGCAGAGGAGGGTGCCTCCTGATGCATGGGTTTAAATTTGTTTAGCTGCATGGGTTTAAATTTGTTTAGCTTACTCCTTGCAGACAGGGTGCTAGGGGACAGGGAAAACAGGCAGCTCGGTGTCACTTTGCATCCTTACAAATGACGTCCTGGCTCCGACACTGCTCATCATCCTTAGTACGTGAGTGACAGCTCCATCCAGTGAGCTGTAATAGGAAGTAGCTGCTGCCGCTGGCTCATTTGCCAGGGAGGGATGCCCCACTAAGCATCCAGCTCTAGACGTCTCTCTCCCCTCCTCCCATCCCTCTCCTGTTCACTGCTGCCCCTTCTTAATAGCCCAGGGCACTTGGCCCACTTCGCTGTTTTGGCAGAGATGGAGAGAAAGCTTTCCTTCTCCTGTTTGATCTCATCATAGTCACAGCTTATCGGACTTTTTCTAAGGGAAACAAACAGAAACTTCCCAGTAATAAACACCCGTCAAAGCAAATTGCAAAAATGTAAAAACTGATGGACTTCCAAAGCCTGTAGTACATTTTATAGAAATGTTTGGTTTCCACAATATATCCATAGACCAGTAAAGCCTAGTTTTAGGGTTTTGTTTCTGTTCGTTCTGTTTCGTTTTGTTTTTAATAATTCAGTTTCCTTAGGCACAGGAAACTTCACTCTGTTTGATAAAGCCCCACCTTGGAGCTTCAGGATGGCACTTTGGGCTCCTCCGTTCCTGGCCCATAGGAGGTGAGCTCAGTGCCTGGCCCAGTGCCTGCCGCCCAGGAGCCTCTCCCCAAGTGCAGAAATAAACCGATGGCTTCTCAAAGGGTCCTTCCTCAGCTGACCCTCCTGGAGGATCCTGCCTCCACTGGGCTCCTGGTCTTCTCTTTCCTGTCTGGGTGGGTCGAGAACCTGGTCAGGGGGTTGGAGGGCCAGTCACTTCTGGCCTGCAGATGACCCACCAATCATCCAGCCACTTCTCAGTGCGCCTTCTCAACACCATCCCCTGTTGGCTTTCCCCTCGGGAGCTCTTTCCTAGAGTCGTTTATCGCCTACAGCAAGTATTCATACACTGCTGGATTAAATAAAGCAAGAATAGTCATTGTCTTCTATTAAATGCAGATATGCTTGATGAAAGGACAGACGATGTCTTTGCTCTTTCAGGAGCTGACCACTCATCTGCTTTAGAGAGCATCTAGGCGTAGCTCAGTAACTTCCAAGGCCCCTTTCATTTGTATTTTTTCCTAGTGTATATTTAGATTGGGATAGGAACGCTCAGTGGGAATGTCAAGCTGATTGCTTAAGACAGATGACATCATACAGAACCAATGATTGGATCTTCTCTGGCAGATTCTCATGTGCTTTCTCGTTTGGCCTTCTTGTCTCTTACCCCAATTGCAGGTTTGTGTGCAGCTTCGTGTACTATGGCCTCACTCTGAGCACAGGGGATCTAGGCGGAAATATTTATGCCAACCTGGCCCTGTCCGGCCTCATAGAGATTCCATCTTACCCTATCTGCATCTACTTGATTAACCAAAAATGGTGAGTATAGTTGAATTTGAAGTGCCCCACATAGGATCCTGCTCTTGTATCCATAAATACCTAAATATTATTGTCTTTGTCCATAGGCAGTATCTGCTCAGTACTCCAGGGTGATCAGAATTCTTTTTAGACCAAATACAGTTGGAATTCATTTTTTAGTGTGGTATTGCTTGGGTTTCATGTTTATGAGTTTTTCCGTAGGTTTTCAATCCAGTATTAAAATGCACTACCACCGGAAGGGTTTTGGATAGTCCGTGTGTAGTTTGTTAGCCCCAAGAGATAGGATTATTGGCTCTGTGTAGATAGAGCTCCTTCGACCCAGCCCCTTTCATGTAGAGGTTCTTACACAAGGCATAGAATTGGAGGACCTGGAAAGACTTTTCTTACCTCTTAAGACCCACTCGACTTTGTGGAGGGGAGAAATACACCCTGCTTTTGCTACTTGTTAGTGGGGAGTTTTACAGTACTTTTTAAACAGAGCGCCATGTCCTCAGTTTCTCTATTAGGTCGCTTCTGTTGCTGAGCCCTGACCAGAGCAACTGAAAATCCCATTCAGTGTGAACCAACCAGATTGTGCCGTTTCCCATTATCCAGAAATCATCATTTTAACCCAAACAGCATTCCTTTTGCACTATACTTGGTGCTGTTGTTGTGGATGGTGGGTTCAGTGCATCTTGAAGGGCAGGTTTGGATTCTGTTCATTTGAAGGCTTTTCTCTGGGGATGGTCCCGGTTGTCTCTGCTGACCCCTCTGTTAGGGACTGAGCTTGCTGTCACCGTGGTCCAAGAACCGAGTCAGGCTGTCTATTCAGAAATCGGTCCCCATCACCTCCAGTGAGCCAGATACCCCTCCTTTGTGCTGTCATAGCTTCCATGCTCACCTCGGATGACCACCTGTGGTTTTAGAAGGATGCTGTCCCAGGGAGTAGCCTGTATGGCTTTGTGTCCCCACTGCCTGCCTAGCGTGGCACCTGTCCGTTGAAAGGCACTCAGTACTGATGTTAAATGAGGCACAATGACCTGGAGACCCACGTGTCATCCTGTCTTCCAGCCACTACCACTGAGTTCAAATCTAGTTTCAGCCACATGTTACTTTGATGGCTTTGACAGGTGATGGCTTTGACAAGTAAAGCTTCCATGTACTTATCCTTAAACTAGGGCTTATAAAATTCCCTGGCAGAATTGTTATAAAGGACAAGTACTATGGAAGTTCCTACAGGGGACCTAGCAAGTCATAGGCCCCTAGTGGACGGTAGGCTTGTTAATGCCAGTGCCTTTCATCCAAGCCTCCAGCAATTCTTTGAAAATTAGTTCCCTTAATAAAGTATGCAATACATGTCACTTAATTCTGACATACTAACAAATTTTTTTCAGTTTGTATTTTTAGGAGAGAGAGCCTTGTTTTACAGGGTTTAAAATTTGCAACGACGTGGATGGAACTAGAGGGTATTACGCGAAATGAAATAAGTCGGAGAAAGACAGCATATGATTTCACTCATATGTGGAATTTAAGAAACAAAACATGAACATAGGGGAAGGGAAAGAAAAATGAAACAAGACGAAATCAGAGAGGGAGACAAACCATAAAAGACCCTTAATCATAGGAAACAAACTGAGGGTTGCTGGAGGGAAGGTGGGTGGGGGGATGGGGTAACTGGGTGAGGGACGTTAAGGAGGGCATGTGATGCAGTGAGCACTGGGTGTTATATGCAACTGATAAATCACTGACCTCTACCTCTGAAACTGTTAATACACTATATGTGAATTAATTGATTTTAAATAAAATTTAAAAAAGGAACTGCTAAAGATTCATGTAACGAGAAGAGGAAGTGAGCTAAAGACTCCGTTCTCCATGGTTCATTTCCGTTCTCTGGAAGATGGAGAGCACAGTGCATGCCTTACAGATTTATTGTGAGGACTAAGTAAGATACTCGGTGGAAAGCATTCAGCACTGCCTGGAACGTGGTGAACCCTCACAGAAATCAATAGAATGATTCTCTGTTCTTTTCCTGCACATGTCATTCAGTCCTGAAATTGGCCAGTTTTCTCTTGTTCTGTGTTGGTTACGTATTTTATGTCCTGGTCAGTCACATCTGCCACCCATTCCTTAAGCAACGATGAACATATATAATGAAACTGGGGACATTTCAGATAGAAGGTTCGGGAGACGAAGCAGATGAATTTATAAGATCCTCAAGAGAAATGTGTAATGTCTTTCTGTTGTTTAGGTTTGGTCAGAAGCGGACCTTAGCGGCGTTTCTGTGCCTAGGAGGACTGGCTTGTCTTATTATAATGTTTCTTCCAGAGAAGAAAGGTATGCCTTTCAGATTTCTACACATAAGGGTTTGAACAGCACTTTTATTACAATGAATCTCAATATAGTAGAGAGATTACCATATGCCATGCTTCATTTTTATGACTGCATATTATTTAGCGATTGTGTGGGGTATAATGGGCCAGATTCTTCCCATTGCCTAAAGTATTCTCTGGGTGAATAATGTGCTTAGAGGTGCACTATTAATTCTTTCAGGCGATTAAGCTACCATCTGGGGTGTCTGGGTTGCAGTACTGGTGACGTTAGAGTTGTTTACTTGATGATGGGGAGGACCGCTTAGCTCTGCAGAGAGAGAAACTCCACCCAGGGCTACGGATCTGTACTCCCCATTCCAGACAGTCACAGAGCAGAGTCACTGGTTCCCAAAGGCAGCTTTGGTGCCCTCTGCATATCCATCCGTGCTTCCAGGGCCCCCTGGTCATAACAGCACCACAGTAAGAGTGCTGTTCACTGTTGGTGACAACGGATGTTTTCCCAGTCTTATATAAAGTGTGAACAAATCATCTTTAGGAAACTTTGGTATTTTTATATATTTGTAGCTTTGCTGTGCATCCCTATCTAACTTGATTTCTGCCCTTCTATAGAAGTTATGTTAGAGAGCGATGGTTCTCAGCCTTTTTTTTTTTTTTTTTCTTTTTTTGCACTAGCACACCTGACGCACGCTAGCTGTCTTGTCAAAACTGATTTGGGCAGTGCTTTCCAACATGCGGGCTGGGCCATTAACAAACACTGGACTGCTGGGGCATATGGTACCACAAAAGCCCTGTTTGGGGGGCTTCGGGATCTCAATAGGTCTCCATCCTGGAGCTTTTACTTCCGGTGGGAATCACTGTGAGGTGGTTAACATAAGGTTTGACACTGCTCGGAACGCAGCTGAAGAATTTACTTCCAGACCCAACATGTCACGTAGGAAACCCTCCTTTGGTTGCTGCTTCTCCTTGAGGTTCGGTTATAGCAGTGTCTCACCCGAGACCCCGAGACCGCGTGTTCTAGTTCTCTAACCCCCGGGACACCTCCTGTGCTGCTGGTCACCACCTCGAATTCTATGCCCTGAATCCAGGGGACAGTTTTTCACTACTGTGGATGTGACCCGTATGTAGCACAACCTTGTAGTGATTTTCATGGAATCACAGAAACTAGAGGATTCGATAAGATTACCTATTTCTTACTCTCTAAGGAAATTGTTACCTCTGCTAGTGCCGGAAAAGGGAGAGTCCTCAGCTCTTGGCTTGCTTGTAGAACCAAGCGCCTGGTTCTGTTTGTCTGGGACAGACAATAGTGGGCTTCAAATCATCATAGCTTTATTTTTTTTAAATATTTTTATTTATTTATTTGGTAGAGAGACAGAGAAAGCATGAGTGGGGGTAGGGGGGGAAGGGCAGAGGCAGAGGGAGAAGCAGACTCCCCACTGAGCAGGGAGCCCAACGCAGGGCTCAATCCCAGGACCCCGGGATCATGACCTGAGCCGAAGGCAGATGCTCAACCCAGGCGCCCCAAGATCATCGTAGCTTTAGATTCAGATTTTGTTTTTCATAGACAGCTTGGAAATCCCATTGTTTTCTATCTATCAGAGGCCAGTGTTCTAGTTGTTGCCTTGTAAAGAAAACTTTCTCCTTGTTGCCATGAGCACCCCTGTAACCTGTCACACCTCTCCCAGCCAGGCCCCCTCCCACATAGCTGTGCCCTCCGGGGAACCAGCCCACAGCCCAGCACTCTGCATGTGGCTCTTTCAAAGTGAAAGCAGATGTGTGGTCTCCAGCCAGACCCGGCCTCACTCTCTGCTCACTTGTGGTAGGTTTTAAGAGAGAAGCTTGAGCCCTTTGTCGATGGTGCCCCTGGGTGGACACAGAATAAGGAGTACTCCAGGAGTGTGCCTCAGCAATGTGGTACCTGTGTTATACTTAGAAAAGTGGACGTCTAGTCTATTTTTGAAGATTTCCAGGAAAAGAAATCTCACTACATCCCTTAGAAAATTGTGTAGCCATGAGAACTGGCCTCTTCCACCACAACTGAGCCTATTCCCTTTCATTTTATTCATCACTAGAGATAGAGTAGAGATGACCACCCCTCCTTTTTTTTTTTTTTTTTTTTTTGCATAATCCTTTCTGTATTTGCTGGGAGTCACCTACTCCTGAATCTTCTCTTCCTTGAGCTGAAAAAATTTGTTCCTTAAACTTTCTTTGAACCTTTCATATTTACTCCTTAAAGCATTTCGATGGCTCTCTTTTATTTATTTTTTTAGATTTTATTTATTTTTTTGACAGAGAGAGACACAGCAAGAGAGGGAACACAAGCAGGGGGAGTGGGAGAGGGAGAAGCAGGCTTCCCGCTGAGCAGGAAGGCCCGATGCGGGGCTCGATCCCAGGACATTGGGATCATGACCTGAGCCAAAGGCAGATGCTTAACGACTGAGCCACCCAGGCGCCCCTCGATGGCTGTCTTTTAAACCTCAGTTTGTTCAGGGGCGTCTGGGTGGCTCAGTCTTTAAGCGTCTGCCTTCCGCTCAGGTCATGATCCCAGGGTCCTGGGATCGAGCCCTGCATCGGGCTCCCTGCTCAGAGGAAAGCCTGCTTCTCCCTCTCCCACTCCCCCTGCTTGTGTTCCCTCTCTCGCTGTCTCTCTCTCTGTCAAATAAATAAAATAAAAATCTTTAAAAATAAACAAGTAAATCTCAGTTTGTTCAAAGGTCTGAGCCTTAAGCTACTTCTTACAAAAGTTCTGATAAGTGTATGTTAAGAAAGAGACCTAGTAGTTTGAAAAATTCTATTAGCGTCTTGTGTGAGCTTGGAGACCACTCATCTTCTCGTGCTTTTTGTGCCCATTTTCCCTCACTTTTCCCCACCAAACACACCTTCACTCTCTTCTTTCTGCCAACATAGGTGTCCCAGTACCTACCAGCTTTCTTTTGGTATGCGCGTGTGATTGCGGTTCTCTGTGTCTGAGGCGCAGACAGACAGACATACTTACAGGTACACCTCCAGAAGAAACCACCCGTCTGCTAGAAAACAGATCGTTTGGCATTCCTCAGCTTGCGGTTTGTAATTATTAGGCAAAGCGTCCTGCCCAGTGCATATTCACACATTGGTTGGCCTCCAAGTAAATGTTCTCTCTGGAGGTAGTGTTACCAGGTGGCCACTGATATTTTTGTCCAGATTTCTCATCATTCATTTTAGCTGATTTCTATCCTTGCTTAAAGGATCCTAGTTAAACCTACAATACTGATTATCATTTATGAAGGGTTGACTATATACGGGGTTCTCTTCATATATAGAAGATACTATATATTATCCCCATTTGATAAGGAAACTAAAGTTCAGATAGGTCAAGCAACTTGTCTGAGTTGGCACAGCAAGGAAGCAGCACACTTAGGATTCAGATTTCAGGTCTTTCGGACTTTAAAGTCAGTGCTGTTTGGGGAATGCTGTTTTGCCCTCTTGAGAGTTTTATAGCCAAAGTATTCATTACACATGGTGAGGTTGTTGTCTTAGAGAATTAATGCTGCCTAATTAGAGCCAGTTCTTAACTCTTTAGTAGACGGGTCTGATGGGAATTGGCCAGGGTTCAAGAACTTGGGTTGTCAGAGTGACACTGGGCTCTTGTTGGCAAGGATGTTCCTGGTAGTTGTGGTCCGGTCAGAGTCTGAATACTAGGGAGTCACAGCCCACGACCAGATAAACGAGTTTCACAGTTGAAAGAGTGTCCTCAGACTACTCTGAGCACCTTTATATCTCATTTCTTTTATCAACCTTGGTCTGCCCATTCTTTAGTCACTTGACTTCTCTAGTGCTTGCTATATGCAGGATATTATTCATAAACAAGACCTAGTCCCTGCACTCAAAGAGCTTACAGTCTGGTGAAGAAAATGAGTGATTAGAGAAAAATAACAACAATAAAAGTCAGAAGGTACCGTATGAGAATTGACAACAAAATGCTATGGGGACTTTAACTTCGGACCACGATCATAATAGAGACCCGCTATCCTCCTGCGTTAAACAACTCTAAAACCAGACAAAATATAAGAAGCACTGATTTTCAGACCCTGGACAATAGGCTGCACAGGACAGGCAGTAATCCCCAAGTGGAAGGAAACAAAGTGCTTCCTAACTGTGACCTAGATCAGGGTCTCTAAGCCACGGTGCAAGGAATGAGGAGCCCAGCAAATCCTGGTACTTTACTGAATTCAGAAGACAGTAGCATTAAAACTTGGGGAGGCTAAGATTTCTAGAATTTGCTAGAAAATATACTGGAGAGGGATAAGATACACAGAGGAAGAACTTCAGAGATCTGCAGAACGGGCCTCCAAGTCTTTGGCTGCTTACTGATCCGTGCGTGTGTTTGAGGAAGCTACTGAGGCCAGAGAGAGGACCACCAGGAAGCAGCATTCGGGACAATTCTTGGAACCCAAGGCCGTGCCCAGTTTGTGTTCTTTTCAGCCAGATGTGCAGTGCTGGGTAGAGACCTCCTGGGTCAGAGAAGCCCTACATTAAAGGCTGTTCTTTGCTTGCCCTCAAAGTGCTTTAAAAATCTCAGAAGGAGGAAGTGATCTCAAGTAACTTAACTGCATCCCAGAACAAAGAGCAACAGTATTTAAAGGAATACAGTAAAATCCAGCACCTAACAAGGTAACATCTACAGTATATGGCATCCAGCCAATATTACAAGGCAGGAAAATACCACTTATAACCAACCAGGAGACCTATCAATAGAAACAAAACCAGAAATGACCCAGACGATAGAAGGAGGAGAAAGAACTTTAATAAAACAGCTATTATCAATTTGTTCCACATGTTTAAGAAGATAGAGGAAAGCATGATCATCATGAACACAATAATGGAGGCTATAAAAGACATGTGTAACATCTAGAGTTGAAGCATACATTATATGAAAAAAAAATTGCAGTGAATAAGATTAACTACAGAAGATCAGTGAAAGACATAACAAAAGAAAGTATGTAAGGGGCACCTGGGTGGCTCAGATGG